CATTAATATTTCTAATGAGTATATCTAATTTGAAACATCGAATTATGGAAAGTTAATACGAGTATGGTTATCAATTATTCTGGGAAAGAATATTGCTTTAAACTTTAGATTTATTGATTGTTTATTCTTATATTTGCTGCCTCAGATTTCGTGATTTGTTGATATATACAAAAAACTTAAGGGAGAATTACTTTTCATTTGCGTAAAGAACTCTCCCATACAACTACAGGATACTCGGCCTAAGTTATTTTTATAAAGTAACTAAAACTAGTGCCCGACACATTATATCATCTATTTATTTACCCATTTTACTTAAGAGAGGATTATGTTTATTTCATTTGACTAGATTATCTATCATATTTGTTTAAATTAGGTCTAGATGCTGTCAGCCTATCTACTTTGTCATTCCTGTCTTTATTATTTTATAGATTTGGCGAACTTAATATCTCTACTACCGAGGGGGAATTAATAATAAAAGGAGAATGGAAAAAAAACAAGCTTCATGGACTTGGTACTATCCGGTCTGTCTTTAATTCCGTTATAATCAACGTTAATCCATTTTTTACTCTCTTGTGTTCTTATTTATTTTAACATGAATTACTTCTGTCATAATTGACAACCAAAATAGCCTGTCTGAAGATAATTTCCTATTCTATATTTACCAATCTACATTTTAAAAAGCTTCCTTTGGGTCCGTTAGCTATCTGTTATTCAGGTCCTTTTGCTCTTATAACTCAATTAGCTAAAGCTAGAATGACATTATCACCTGGAATGCTGGCATGCATTGATACATAACAATTTAACAAGTCTTTCTTTGTAGTTAAGATCTTTAGTAACTCTTGGTCGCTTAAAGTAGGCAAGGAATCGCGGTAAATACATCTTACAGTAACAACCCGTCTATATAAAATGTAATATGGCATGAGCCTGGCTTGTCTTGAAAATCATTTTCTCTATTGGAGATTGACTTATATGGCGTAGTGGTAATAGGTCAAAGCTAAACGCTACATTACCCGGATTAGATTCTCGTAGAGAGTGTTTTTGAGACCCAGATGCGATTGATACTGCAGTTCAGTCTTGCTGGATGAGAATACCTTAAAGAAGTAAGAATAAGGGAATTTCACTGGGATGATGAGGTCTACATATCTCATTATGGGAAAATTCGCTCAAAGCTCTTCATCACCTTAACCGACCTACGATGACTATAGCTCTTGCTCAAAAATTATTAGTAGTCTCGAAATCCCACTTAAAATACAATCTTGGACTTCATACCTTTGATAAAACAATTTTCTTTTGCCATTATTTGCTACTCCAATAATTTGACAAATTACTATATTGTTTCTATGAAGAATTCGAGAAGGGTTATGATTAGGAAAATATCTTAGGTTTAGTTTCCCAAATGTTTATATCAATGTAATAAAAAAATTGTATCGTCTGGCCTAGAAAATTATTACTCTTCCGACAAATTTACGTAACCTCAAGAATCCGTGTTTAATAGTAAGAGTTCTCTATACTGCTATCTAGATTACTTATACTGCTGTCCCCTTCCTCTCATCAGATTCCCCAATGACGAAAATTATGCTGGCTGGTTTCGTCAAGGGGAATTCTCCGGTCATGGCACTTATCACTCACAATCGCAAGCTGTAGCTGTTGCCATTGGCCTACAAGCACCAATGTCCTCCGAAGATGAGCTAAGCGGCATTGTTGAACAAGTTTACATTGGCAACTGGGTTGGCAATGAGCGCCAAGGCTATGGCGTGGCTGAAGTGGTGCGTTCAGGTGAAGCGATTGCTACCGGTTACTTAAGAATTTGCGTACCCATTTCACATTTTTTTGCTAAAATGCATTCAATCATAGTAAGATTAATGATAATATATCCTACTCAAAGGCAATTTCATTTAGAATTTAGTATTCCCACAAATATCGATTAAAATAATATAGAATACTTCCTGTAAACGGTACTAATACATTGAAAATTTATGGGACTTAATAATCTGGCAATTTGCAG